AGATGAAACCTTTCTTTCCCATGTACACCCCTTGGCTCCAAAGAAAAGAAGTTTTTGCATCGTATTGGGATGGTCTTGTGCAGAACTATTCATCCCGGAGTCTTACCAATCCAGCAGACAGACTTCATGCAATAGAAGGAATGGCTCGGGAATTCGACACATTACTGAATGGTAGGCTAGGTCGCTACTTGGCGGGCCTATGGCAGAAGCAGCTGGAGAGAAGTTTGCTTTGGCGGCAGGGAGGGGCACTAGATATTTTCTTGCCCAAATCTCAGAAATCCCGACCAGAGAAATGGGTGGCTCCGTCATGGTCATGGGCATCCGTGCAAGGATCCGTTGACTTTGCGTTTGCACAAACCGGAGAGAGCCTCGTGTATATCATTGGTGCAGAAACCACGTTAAACTCCCCCGGGAATCCTTACGGGAGGGTTACCTCGGGGTCTCTAACCATCTCGGGTCCGTGCTTGGCTACCAGAGCTGCAGGCAGTCATGGTAGAGATTCTGATGGTATTACTAGATGGCTTAATTATAAGGACGAATGGGTCGGGTACATATTTCTTGACGCCGACCCATACAGCCAGGAACATCATGAGGTATTGCGGAGTCAAGACACTTTGTATTTTCTTGGTCTCAGAAGTGAACGGCACCCAGAACAAGTGGGCGAGAATATTAGGGGACTGATATTGATGGAAAGATCTCCGTCTTTGTTCTACCGCGTTGGTGCTTTTCTTGACCGGGGAAAGTCATCGTGGTTTGAGGGAGCAGAAAAGCGAACATTGACGATCTTGTAGTTGCGTTTCTCATGGAATCGAGGCTTACGAGAAGAGGACCATGATAAGTTGATGAACTACCTACCACTGTTGGTCATGTTCGCATAGATAGTGACGAAGTCTGTAGTGTGTAAGGCGCGTCAGGTGTATCGACAACTTGAAAAATGAGTCCGCGGTTTTCAGTGTGCGGTATTGGATCGCCGCTAAGGTGTAACCTAGCTTGAAGAGCATCCGGCGATAAGCGTCCCCACGAGGCCGACAATTAACCGAGGCGAACACCGGGCCGGGCCGATCGTCGCAATCCTCATAAACCATCGACATATTTCTCCGACATTAAGTCCAAAGATTACGACCAGCCGGCTTACTTTTGTCTTGATTTGTGTACACATTAAGAGTGCTCGTTTCAATCAAAACTCGAAATTCAACACGCCCCCGGGGCAGATCTGGGTTCGCGATGGTCGCTCCGGCGGACGGCAAGACATCGCCGCTACTCTCACTTGCTGCGGGAGGCATCGCCGGCGGTGTAGAAGCCGCCTGCACGTACCCATTTGAGTTCGCCAAGACGCGAGTACAGCTCTATGGGCACCAGAAAGGGACAAGGAACCCCTTCGCGATTGTTCTGCGCGTTGCGCGCGATGAGGGGTTGCCAGCGCTTTACAAGGGATGCAGCACGATGATCGTGGGGTCTATCGGGAAGGACGCGGTGAGGTTCGTCGCGTTCGACAGCATTCGCTCCGTATTTGAAGACAAGAAGACGCGTACGCTAGGACCCATGCAAAGTATCGCGTCAGGAATGGTAGCTGGGATCGTCAGCAGCACGATCATTGTCACACCGAGCGAGCGCATCAAGACAGCGCTCATCGACGATGCCAAGACAACGCGACGATTCACAGGTGCAGTGAATTGCATCAAAACTCTGACGCGAGAACAAGGAGTTCTGAAGGCTCTTTGGCGCGGCTATATAACCACAACCCTGAAACAAATCGGCACCACGGGATTTCGCCTCGGCAGCTATAGTATCATCAAAGACTTCGAGCGTAGCAAGGGAATCAGCCCTGAGGGTCCGATCATGAGCTTTGCCAACGGCGCGCTTGCTGGCACAGTCACGACCGTAGCGACGCAACCCTTTGACACGATCAAGACAAAGGCTCAACAGGCCAAAGCCGTGGGCACAATGGAGTCATTTCGAGCGATCATGGCCGAGGATGGAGTAAAGGGCCTTTGGAGAGGGACAGTCATGCGACTAGGACGAACGGTTTTGGCCGGTGGCATTCTGTTCACGGCTAACGAGCAAGCTTTGAAGGGCCTGAAACTATTGTTGGGAAAATAATGATGTAAATTGGGTACGAAACGAGGCGAACCCACGAGCAGACATAATTCGAACACGACAAGCCAGCTATCTAGATATAGACAAGACATAGATCTGCGATAGTGACGTGGTGCAGATAGAATCAAGCAGACTACTTAGTTACCAAATACCAACCCTGATCTTCCAAGGTTTGCGCAATTCTATCCCAAAGACCAGTCCGCAACATGCCACCCCACCAAATATTGCCATCTAGGTCCTTGCCAATTATCGGACCCGCAAATCTAAGTGGGAAGCCACTGACATAGTTCGCATTGAGAATCAGCGAGGGGCGCCCAAGTTTGTGCGGCTGAGCAACAGAGACTAAGTGAGGCTCGACGACGGCGGAAGAAAAGTCTGTTTCGAAGAATCTGGCTTTGCCCCAGTTTGACAGTAAAATCTGATGCATGTTCCTGTCTCCAAAGAAAGCTGCAGAATGTTTCTTTTCTAGGGCTTTGCGAGCTTCAATTTGCGCTCTAGTCCCTTGCTCTCGGATGGATCGTCGTATCGCGGCAGCCGTGTGGCTCAGCGGCCTTGTCCAGAGGTCCTCCGCGGTGATGGTGGTTAGGATCAGGGATGTGGCGTTTGATATAAATGCGGTCTTTTCTGGAAGAATGTCCTGAGCAAGCGCAGGACGTATATTGATGACGTTTCCGAGGACAATCGGTTTGTTGGTATTCGCAGGCAAATGTTGCGACCATAGGCGGCCGATAACGGCGGTCACGATGTCTCCCTCGCTGGCGAATAACTTTTCTTGGCCGGTGCTCTGGTCACTCAACTCTTGGTTGACCTTTTTCTTGAGTGTTTCGATGTAAGCTGCCGGTATACAAGCAATACGAGATTCTTCAAAAGGATGACGGAGGATGTCCCAAATATACTGCAGGACGATTCGGGCCAGTCCCCAGACTGAAAGACGCTGATCAGCCAGAACGAATGGCTCTGCAGTGTTCTTTCCCAGCTCTGCCAGGGGATCTGTGTCAAACCCGTGGAAGACTTTGACATCGTCGTCGCGACCCTCGAGAATGGCAGTCCACGCAGTCAGAAGTTCCTGCCTTCCGATCCCATCCCATAACGTGTGCAGCCATGTCAAACTGACAAGCGTCGCGTCATCGAAGGAGACGATGTGCAGACTCAGCTGAGGTTCATCGCGATAGATGTAGTCTTGCATCGACTTGGGGCCATCTGATCTTCGCATTAAATCCTGGAACTTTTCTGGTGGAGTTCCTATGACTGCTGGCCTTGAAGTTGCTTTCGGTAGCCGCGAAGCGAGCGGATCATATTTGATGCTGCAGTCGTGCGTCTGGTGCGAGTACGCAATAGCTGGTCTTTCGGAGTTGTATAGCTCAGGCACATGGTACTCAAGCTTTTTCTGAGACTGCCGCATATGTGAAAAGCTGTCTCGACGCATTTTCGAATACTTGAGATTGGAACTTACGTTCAGTCTTAGTCTAGCACCAAGCTTTCGCCATCCTTCACGGCCTAGCAACTTCGTAAGTGACGAGTGCAGCCTTTCTGGATTCAAGACGTCATCAAAGCGCATCATGAAGCCCATGACAATGCCTCTGTTCAGGGCAGTGTCATCATTGGGGTTCAAGGGGATGATCGTGTCTGTAGCCACTGTTGCCGGTGCTTTGGGCGCAGTCTTCGAGAATATGCTGCCCATCTTGATGACTACCTAGGTACCCACGGCTTGACCTCAAAAATGAGAAAGATGGTTACAATTAGAACACAGTCTCAGAAGAGCGGGATCACGCTCGTATTTACGGCAGTTGAAAAAATTGCAAGGATCGATCGGGTTAGATTCGTTCCTTCTTTACCGACCTGCATGACAGTCGTTGGAAGTCTGGACTTACAGTCCGCTGGACCGGACTTACGGTCTTGTCACGGTTGATCTAACGACTATAGGCGCACTGGCTACAGTCTTGGAAAGTTTGCCGCCATTTTACGTACCTTTGTCTGCTGTCGGTGTCGTACCTGTCAGCCGGTTAATCCGAGTTAAGGTCTTTTCCGCATGCATTGTTGGTGTTTTACCACATTGATTCGGGAGCACTGCATGATGCAAGGCAGACGAATCCTGGCATGTGACGGTTTCTTATCCTAGAAAATCATTCAGGTTTACCTATTGTCACTCGTTTCCTATGAGTATTCTCTGTTCCATGACCTTGATACGACAACTTTCCCCCGCAAGTTCCTTCGTGCCTTATCCAAACACGACAACCACCTCAAACTCGAATCTCCCCAGTGCCGAGCGTATTTTCCTGACAGAGAAAACTTGCCAAGACGATATCCGCTCCAGGGGCGAATCTCGCTTTGTTGGTCCGTTACCCAGCCAGGCGGGGCCACCTCAATTTTCGCCTGCTCCGTAAATTTTCCAACCAACAGCCAACTTACGATTTCTGGGAAATCCTGAGCTGCAACTATTGCACTCCTGCCTAATCCATCCTTCTCGTACCATATCCGTGCTCCTGCATAGACGAGCATTTTGACTACGTCTAGCCGACCCCCATGAGCTGCTGCCATTAGCGCAGTGCCAGTCGAAGCTCCCTCGAACTCAATGTTGCAACCCAAGTCTAGCAGCAACTTGGCCTCTTCAACAAGTCCGAGATCAGCAAAGAGGCACAACACGCCATATGATCTTTCGCTGTCTTTTCCATCGGACTCAGTCATGTCTTGTATGGATCCGTGCCCACTTCGCCGACACAGCAGACGAAGAAATCGCCGGACACGACCCCTCTCTCCAACGTAGTAGGCGTAGGATAGAATCTGCCAAAGCTTTGGTGCATTCACCTCGGATGCTATCGCATGGCCATAATCGGAGTTGAAAATAAAGGTCGCAAGCCGGATTTTCAGACACGCCGGTGCCCAGAGGGGTACGCCATACCTTCCTATCGTTTGAAGAGGGATGCCTGATTTTAGCATCAGAACCGCAGTTTCCGTCGAATCACAAACCAGACATGTGTCAGCATACTGAGGATATCTGACAGATGCCCCACGATCCAAAAAGAGGTTCACCATTTCGGTGTTGCCAGACTGAACTGCTTCTTCCAGAGGGGTGAATCCACGGTTATAATCTCTGGATGCAAGCGAGGCCCCGTGCTCCAAAAGAAGTTGTGCAAGCTCGATGCTTTCGTGATTTGCGGCTTGGTGAAGGGCAGTTCCCTTCGCTGTGGTTTTCTTGTCAACTTCTGCTCCATATTCGAGGAGAAGGCGGACAAGCTCCAGGTTGCAAGCATCGACTGCGTCCTGAAGAGGCGAGGCTACGTAGGGCCCAGAATGCCATCCAGTCCTGTTCACAAGCTCATAAGCCAAGTTTCTGTGAAGACCATCACCGATCTTAGCAGCGTGAGATAAGAGAACCTGTAGAGCCTTGAGGCTGCCGCGATCCACAGCTACATGGACGGCTATGGAATTGTCAATGAGCCATATCATGTCTTCTTCCGGAACGGAGCATAGCCATGTTGAAATTTTCTCGAACAAATCATCCTCCCACATGAGCATGTCAAGACTGGTAGATCCAAACGATGGCCAGGCATACTGCCGGTACTTTTTGTTATCATCACTATCAGATGATGAGGAGGACGAGGAAGATGAGGAGTTGTCTGAAGTGTAGTCGCTGAAATGGCGGATACCGTATCGCTTGAAATTTCCGCACGTATGGCGGGCACAGGTAGTTCCACGGAAACTTGCTCCGTGTTCCACCAGGGTGTCGACGATGTTCGCAGACACCTCGTTACGTGACAAAGCGAAAATGAGAGCTGTGCAAGTATGGCAAGATCTCATCTTGATGTCCACCGGGCAACCTTCCTTAAGAATCTTTCTACAAATTTTAGTATCGCCGTCAATGATGGTCTTTTCCATGGTCCGAGAGAGAGAGGCCAGCCATTGCTTGTCACAGTGAATTTCTGCGCCAGTCTTCAGGTTTTGTTGGATGGACCTTTGAACTCGTTTGATATAGTATTCTTCCTTGGGCATAGCAAAATCGAGCGGCGTTTCTCCTTTCTTCGTCTCCATATGGGCCGCGCTGAGCTCCAGAAGGAGCTCAACAGTGTCTTTCTTCTCGAGATGGATTGCGAAGTGCAAGGGGGTCCATCCGTCGCAGTCCTTAGCGTTGATATTTGACCCCCGAGAAACAAGTTCTTTGATGGTTTCCAGCTGCCCAAACATTGTGGCAAAGTGTAAAGGGGTATGCAATTGTGCATCAGTGATGTCAAGGTCTGAGGCAAAACCGTGATTCAGCAGAAACGATACAGTCTTTGCCGAGGCAAGTACCGCAAGGTGCAGAGCGCAGAGGCCACGGTAGGGCTTCGTGAATGAGGGAGCTGCTTCAACACCCAATGCCACCTCAACCTGGAAGTCCCAAATAGATTCAGAACAGGAGGATGCAGCCATCTGGTCGATGATATCCGTGTAGCCATGCGCGCATGCCCACGCTACAGGAGTCCACCCAAACTTGTCAGAGGTAGAGAGAGTCTCTGGTGATCCGCGTAAAAGTAAAAGGCGTGCCGTGTCAAGATAACAGTATCTTATGTGCGTACTCAAGGCTGAAAAATTACCCCTTTTGCTGAGAAGCTGGCGATCCATGTGCTCGTCAAGCAGTCGTTGGAGTATGCTAAACTTTGGGTTGTCGCGTGGTATCCTCAATGCCGCGAATCCCCCCGGCCCTAAACGCATTGGGCAAGCTGAACCTTGTGGTTGACTGAAGTTCTCCATCGGGATAAAACTAGGACTGAACAAGGGACTACTATCTGAAGATAAGTCCTCCTTGCCATATGGCATTCCTAGTAGGTGTAAGAGACCAAGGTTTCCGTCGGGATTCAGCTCGTTCAGACGATCTTTCTCAGCTCGTTCTAAAAGATTCGCGAGCATCCTATGACCGTTGAATTCGGTACCGTGAGAGCACACGTACTCTAACAAGTTTCCTCTCCCGTCCCTTTTATGAACATCAATATCCGTGTGGATAAGACGACGAAACAGGTGCCAAGAATTGTGAGCAATAGTCCACTTGATGACCTTGATATCCATACCACTACTTTTGTAGTACTGAGGTAAGGTCGTTGTGTCATGAACAATGCCGAATATCTCTTCAGTCGCAAGTACAGCGTCGTTGTCAGGTGTAAACGCCCTCGGCATTGAGTCGACATCAAAGAGAGGAACGATCTCTACCAGCCCAGATGTTTCTCTAGCTTTTTCATAATCGTCCATGCAACCGAGATGGACCATGAGCTTCACAAGTTCGACAACTTCCCAGGCCTCAGCTTCTGATGCTCTTCTGAAATAACCCTGCACGCTTTTGCAGAACCACTGCCAGGTATGAATACCGTTGACGATAGGTGCGGCAGACAGCTCTTTCTGGACAAGAAGTGCTACAAGTTCTTTCTTGTAGATGTTCAAGTCGGATCTTGACAGGTATATCCTTAAGGGTGTTGGAGGCTGGTCGGAACAAGGGTAGGGAAATATTTCGAGGAGTTGGCGAGTCGCTTCCACACCTGCTGAATCTTCTATATGGAAGTAATTGAGAGGCGTGTCTTTAGCCACAAATTCGAACATTTCGCAATCATGCAACTCCTTGAGTAAGACGCTATCCTGAATACCCGCCACAAGGTGAGGTAGTGATGGATGTCTGCTCTTGAGGCACGCACGATCCTTTTTGCAGTATTTGAGGATGATAGAGGCGTTTGAGTACTGTTTGCTGACTAGCGCTTTGGCAAGCACGGTACGGCCACTCTCATTCAACATTCTCAAGGCATCTTTTCGTTCTTCCTCGTCACTGTTTTCAAGTAAGATTTTGAGAATTCCAGTTGAGGTAGCTTTAGCAGCTGCGAGATGCCAGATGGTGCTTCCTCTCGCATTGGCTCTCATGGTTTGAGCACCATCCTTCAATAAGCATAAGAGGACTTCTTGCTTTCCATCTTCGACGCAATAAAGCACAGCTTTGCTTTTCCAATCATTTGAGCCGTTTTCGGCCATGTAATTTGTGAGCAAGTGGTCCAAGCAGTTGACAGCTGAGCATGCGGCAGCGAAGTCGAGCAGTTTCATCAAGATGTCGCCTTTTAGGAGGTCCTTAATTCTTGTGTTACTTTGAGATTGATCCTCGATCGCTTTCAAGTTGTCATCGTCGATTGATTTCCACATCTGTTGGACAAGCATGTCATCGGAGATGCCTTGCGAGACAGGCAATGGTATGTCGATGTCAGTGGTTTCCGAAACCGCCTTCTGGAAAGCTTTGAGATAAGCCAGCGATTCGCCCTCTTTCTTTTCAACCATTCCGTTTAAGATTTCCAAGATGTCCTGAATAAGTTCCTTGGCTCCTGCATCTTTATGCTTTGTCCACTTGCGACAGATCGACCTGAACACAGCGATAATGTCATCGTGCAGTTGAGCACCTCCTCTAACGACAATCGCGAAGATTTCAGAATTCCTAGCCCATTCTGAGGTCTTCAGGGCCAAAGCACCGACAGTGCTCCAAGGGTATGTCTGACTAGGCAAATCTCGTGTACAATCCGCTCCCGCATTGATCAGCAGCTCAATAGTGCTTTTACGTGGTCGGCTGAGCCATGGTGGCAATGGAGAATTGCCCGCCGGGATATCGTGGTCACCAATGAGTAAAGTACCTCCAATCGCACACTGCAAAGGGGTTCCTATCTTGCTCGGCCGATTGTAATTTTCTCCAATTCGAATCAACTCCGAGCAGACGGCATCGATGCCCAGGAGAGCAGCCATGTGTAATGGAGTAAAGTCGCCTCGCCTTAGCACACGTGCAAGGCGCCTTGTCTGGCCTGCTGCCCAAGATCGTTTGGACATCTTCTTCCTCAGAGGAGGACTTGCGGAGGATGATGATTCCAGATGAGGTGGGGTATCTGAAGTACTATCTCCTAAATCTTTGTTCGACCATGTTGCGGCGGAAGAGTTGGCTTCCGTAGTTTCTGAACAGATAGATGGGGGCCTCCTGATTATGCCTCTGTCTTTCCGTCCTCTCCAATTGTTACAGTCGCCGTTCATTCTGTGTTGGCGGCAGATCTCAAGACACCAAGCCTTGAAGTTTGTTGTCTGTTTGGGGTCGAAGAGCGCCATGGCTTCCACGACCAACTCCGGGTCCTGCCAATGACTGACATCAATTTTGTGCCAAGTCAGTGCGGCGAACCTGTAAAAGGGGTATCTCTCGTTCCTGGTCCTTATATAATCCACTTCTGACAACGATAAGCTTGGAAGTCGAGCGAAGTGACCTAAGGTCAGGAACTTGAGTGCACAGGTAGCAAGAAGCCGATTCGTTCCGGATGTCGTGAGACAATATGCGGCCAAATCGCTGGATTGGTCGATATATCTATGCGTAAGGAAGCTTTCAATCGAATCGTGCGCAAACACAAACTTGTTGCCATCCAGCGATCTTATGATCATAGGACTGCATTGTCGCAGAATCTCTGATTCGTCCACCTCCGGATATTCCAACATCTCAGGATCTAGCCCGGAAATGCCTGAAACTGAAAGGGCTTGGCAGAACTCTTGGGCACTCAGTTTGTGGCGCGAACATTTCGTCAGTTGTAAAGCCCTGAGGATCAAGCTTCGAGATTCTGGCGTCCGCTTTTGAAATTCTTCCAGCGTTAAGCGGTAGGTGTCGTGCAGCGAGCATGGGAGCTTCTCCAGAAACTCAACCTGCTCAGAGTGGGACTGCAAGGAGCAGAGGTGGTCGAGTTGATATGCGATCTTCCAGAAGCTGTCTTGATTATTAGCCTTATACGGTTCGTGAGTGTTTCATTGTCTTACACATGGTCGTCACCAACGCTGAGTTTGCGGATCGTAGCATCCTTCACTGCTGTCCGTTGGAACCGCAGAGCCCCGGTCCTGACTCGTCTTTCTACCTCGGTGGCAGCGAAAGCCTGCAAGATGGCCATGGATGGTGCAATGTCACATTTAGTGACGGATTCGCCCAAAGACTCCCGAACAAACTCGAGGTCTTGACAAACCACTGCCAAACTAAAGTTCGGTGCGGATTCTTTGGAAGTCTTTAACAAAGAGGCGATCATCGGTATGATGCCATCTCCGCCAGACTTTGAGCAGTCCACAATGACCAAGACATGTTCAAAGAAAGTTGACATTTGCCAAAGAACACCTTTCAGTCCTTCCATGCTCGCTCCGTTTGTTGCCCATCTCGGTTGGATATTTAGGTCGCGACGATATCGGCGTAAGACTTCGAACGCGCCCTGATTCTGGCGCGCGATCAGAGCAACGATGGTGCCAAGTATGTTCATATCCGTGGTCCATCTGGTCCATCCACTTAGAAGCTCAAAGTAGATGGGTACAACAACAGTTCGTGCACGGCGTCGCCGAAAGGTTTCCCGTGCTAGTGCGCCGGTGAAGGCGGTTCTCCCCCCGCCCGGAGGAGCTGTGAAGAGAAGGTGTGATCCTCCCTTATCAAGCCAATTTTCGAAGTCTTCTCCTTGGAAAAAGCTCGACTGTATTGAAAAGTGTTTGTATCGATCTTGTATCTTGATGTATGAATCTTCTCGGGCGCGTAGAAAGGTATTGAGGACCATATAGATGCCTTGGAAATACCCAGAGGATTGGAGAAAGTCGGTGAAAACTTCGGATATCCAGTCTTCGTCACGTATGGTTGCCACAGACTTCCCTTTTGATAGTAACTGTAACAGATGTTTGATGGATTCTCCATTCAGTCCTTCTGAAATTGTCTTCTTGTGCTCACTCAGTTCATTCAGGAGATCTGTTGTCCAGGCCCTCGTAAATGGCCACTTGACATCGGCATACCTTTTCTGTTCGCATCCGTCGTCGTCCGATCTATTTGTTCGTCTCCTTAGCGATCCCCCTAGTTGTTCTAAAGTGGTGCGACATGAGACCAGTGGGGGCGGGGCAGCATTGATGTCCGAATCATGGTCCTTAGTCTCTTCAAGTCCTGATGCTAACAGAGAAAGTCGATGCAACAAGCCCGCGATGTCTTGTATTTCGTTGGCAACGGCCCGGATCTCCGATTTCAACTTGCCGTCGTTTTTGGTGAAGCTAAAGGTCAATCGAAAGGTGGCATCGGCGATGGCCCTCACATCGTCGAGTCTGACGGCCAACTGGTCGGCCTCCATCTTGTATCAAGCTGCCAGACGAGGGTTCTGCCACCGTCACGAAGTATGCTATTGAGTGCATGTAGGTTCGTGATAAAAGTTGTTTTGACTTGGTCTGGAGTCTCATGCTTTTCGACAGCTTCCCTAAGATTTTGGTAGCCCGAAAAGTCTCTCACACGGCTGACCGTCTCGTGACGGTGCATGCATCACGTGGTACATCCCCGCTTGTGCTGGGCAGCATTGCATGTCAGCATGCAGATTCACAGCCTTTGGAAAAGTACCATGCAGACATGTTGAGAACATGCAGAGGCATGACGGTCTACGGATGAAAAGTGGGCGCCATACATGTTTGGTCAACGCCTGAGTTATCAAAGATACAAAGTATATATTCTCGCCAGTATAGACCATCATCGAAATCATATGTTCATGGTTGTTCACGGCTTGTATAATTACCGGGCCAATTTGCATAGCCGTGCCTCCTGGGCGGTCTCAATGCTTGCCAAACTCTCGATAGCTCAATTTCTGTCACTCTGATCAAGCACGAAGAATACAGTTGCTCATCACTATTAGTAAAACTTGTTGCTCTATTGCATCTAATACTGACTGGTAAAAATAGGGCCGCCGGGCTATCCTGCTCAATAGATAACCTTCCTCTAATCACTTTCTACAGCGACCACGATGTCCACTAATTCGTCATCACGCCTAAGCCCATTCTAGTCCCATCACTTATGATATCCTGACGAAAGTGATCGGAAGTATCAAAGGAACCATTGACTTCAATCTTCGCTACTTGGTAAGTTATCTGGTAGTCCAGTCTTGCCACAATGCTCGCAGATGCCCCGCTTGAATGAGGGACTGCCGCATCTCGGGCAGATCGTCGCATAGCCAGGCATCCTAGGCCAACTGCTTTCTAGTCAATTTGTGAGAATCTTCGAAATGTTTAACTTCTGTGTTGGAGTTGTATTGGTTTCTGTGAAGTGTAATGGCACTTATATTGAAATGGTTTCTTGGTTTTATGACAAAATAGCAATATACAGGCGCCATTGGCATTGTTGGCAGTCCTTGCTTAAATAGCTGATCTCACTATTTGCCGGGAAATGTCATCTTTGCATACTCATACCGAATCGACTGATTCCGAATTTAAGACTGACTTGCGAGCCACACGAGCACATGTGACTGGTTGTTAACCGGTTGGCAAACAGCGCTGGTAGTCAGACTCAGACATGGGCATTTGGCGAAGGGAAACCACCGGCGCAAGAGTTGTCATTGTAGAAAGGTTACACAAAGCATTGGATACATGTTGAGTCTCTATTGTGAATGCTCGTAAGGATGTGACTCGCCCTTGAGCCCCTGAACTTTCAAGTAAGGGACATTGTGTAGTTACATGTCATTAGCAAGACTGTCTGTACGACTTTGGAAGAATTGCAACAATTAAAGCCAGAGACCCACACTTGACAATTTTATAAAATAGAGAATGCGGCTCTTCTATCGTGAAGTTTCTAAACGATGAGGCGGTAGATCTGATTATTTGACGGGTCCGATCGTTCGGCGTCATTCGACATCCGCCGGTAACATTCGGCGCCCTCGGAAACCCCGGCGGACTCGGAGCCCGAGTGGGTCTCCCGTCGGCAGAGTAGCGCTCTTCTGGTTTAGTGAACAGTGAGAGAAAAGTGTCCCCCTTGGGCAGATCCGAATTCCGAAAGCCGAAAGCGCGAGACCCCTTGGAAATGAGGTAAGAAGTCCGATCCAAACTTGAAGAGAATTGTCCTCCGGGGTTATGGGACGGATCGACCCGGACAAAGGGTTCTGGATTTCTACCGCGTACCTGGATCGTAGGAATTGACTTTAATGTCACGATCCCCATTTTGTAGCCCCCCCTCCCATCCATCTAATTCATCTTGCATGATTCGCATTGTCCAATCAACCTCATTCATTCCAACTCCTGATTAGATCGCGTCTTGATGGCTTCCTTCTTCTCAAAGGCCAGGTTAGCGACCTTTTCCAAGTTCGCCGCAGGTGCCACCATCACAGGCGCCGCTGGTTTTCACCTCTGGACGCGTCAGTGCGCGTTCGACGACACTTTCACCCCGGCCAACGACCCCCTCTTCCAACACTCCCTTCTTAAAAAGGTCAATCCAAATAACAATCCCGACTTTCACGACTGCTGTTACCGCACAGTTTCATTTGACAAGTTGCGGCCGGATCTTGTTGAGGACGCGCTTAGTGGAGGCTCAAAGCTTGTGGAGACGTATTCTGCTGGTGTCTGGGGACGATATGGTGAGCATGTGCCTTTAGCGGTGAGGACGATATGACAAGAAGCTGAGTTTGATACACAAGCATTCAATATTCAACGCAAAATCATGGAGATGGCCCGTAAAGACAAGTCGAACGCAGGGGACCTCTGGGAGAAAGAGGAGCTATTAAAGAGCACCTACCCAATCGGTACGTCTCATTCCCGATATTGGCCATGCGTCTTGCCCACATTCTAATGTTCCCCTCACTGACTTGAATAGGCACGGCTTTTGCTGACGACTTTATTGTCATCGAAAAGTCTCCAAGCAGCATCTTACTGCGGGGTGGGCTCTCCCCCAGGGTAGCGCCTGATGGCCCACGCGAGTTGGACAGTATCATAACCCTAGATGCGGACCTCGACCGACAGGCCCGAGTCGTCAGCTTCAAGCTCAAGTCAATACTTCTCAACGGGGTGAGCGACGGTAATGGTGCTCCACTACCTGGGCCCGCGGTGTTCTTGCATCAGCAGTACGCTAAGCTGTTGGTAACTGCCGGTGTTGACCACTGTGTTGCATGATACCCTTGAAGACGTTGCTAAACCATCTTCCCTCAAACTGTACTGTATGTGTATTACTACTATAGACTATAGAAGCAACGAGTGCCTCCTTTCAAGGCATACGTGTCTAATGACGGATTCTTTTTGGTATCATGAAGCAGCAAATACTATGGGCCGTATCTTAGTGCCTATACCTAGATGACATCGGCAATGAACTTGGGCACAACGAATTGCGCAGGACCGCCGGTGAAGGCCTCGGTACCGAGCTGGTAAACTGGCCATTCAGTTAGCCTGGAGTTCGAGTGGCCCGACAGGTAGGATGGGGAAGAGACTTACCGAGCATGTACTGGTTGTGCTGGGGGAACTGGAACTGGTGGCTCAGGAAGTTGAAAAACTGCTTCACGTCGGCGTTGAAGTGCTGAATGGGGCCATTGACGGGCAGGAAGCTGTACACCTTCATCGCGCCGCCGTGGTTGTAACCAAAATGAACCTCCCACTGATGCCCGCAGATCTCGACATGCGCGATGGGCGCCTTGGACTCACTGATGGGCCACACACCGCCCAACTTTGCCAACCTACACATTCACTTATCAGCGGGTTGACCACATTCAGGCACCAATCATCAAACTCACCAGATCATAACCTCGAATTCTCCGCTGCTGTTGGCGTGGTCTTTATCGGGATCCGTAAAGATATCATACGCCACATTGGCCCTTACATCCCACGTGCTGTAATGCCACTCGGCCTCCGTCGGCAGCGCCTGGATCTCACTCAAGAGCCGGCGCTGGAACTGCCTCGCGCCGTAGACATAGGACTTGACGTTGTGCTCGCCGCCCTGCCACTCCCAGTCCGTCGACCAGGAAATACCCTGGGCGCCCGACGCGCCGGGCGGGCTGGGGCCATCGTAGTGCGTGCGCTGTGAGCCCGACGTCGCGCTTTCAAGGCCCCAAGTGTTGTTGTTTAGTTCATACCCGTCAATGGCGTGGTAGCCCCATTTCTTCTCGAGCGTGACGATGTGGTCGCGCGGCGGCGGCATGTTGTTCTGGTTTTGAGGCGGCGGGGCGGGGCGTGCTTGTTGGAGTTCGTGCTGTGACGAGTCGTCGGATGTCGAACAGCAGGATCCCATGGGAGGCGAGTGAATGGCTTCTCTTTAGACCTTCAGCCTTGACAAGACCTTCAAAACCTCGTAAATCCTATGAATATAGCGGCTGATGAGATGAGACGAGATGAGATGAACTGAGAAGATGGTGTGAGGGGTAGTTGGAGACGGCGCGTCTTTAGCACAGCGGACGGGACGGGAAGCGTTAAAGTTGGAGAAAACAGGGCCCCGGAGTTTGTTGTCAGTTGCTGACAAGACAACTCTCAGGGGTCCATCGTTGGGCCTTGCGGCAGTGCTGGACCGCGCGACTCCACTGCGTGCGTCAGCTCTGGTTCCCTACCAAGACTTTACGGCAGCTGGACCGGTTGGCTGACGTCAATGTTTCTCTGGGGCTTGTTCCGCGGCGATGTTGTGATGAACAAGAGAGTAGGCTAACGAATCGAGACATGAAAGCAATCGATGTTGGCTGAGGCATGGCAACTGTTGAAGATGAGTAGGGCCTCCGTTGGAAAGTAAACGCAAAGTAGCCGTACAGTCTTGGTCAACAATGTTCTCAGATGGCCGTTGCGAATTGGGGTGACAAAGGCGGCTGGGCTGTAGTCTTGGCAATGGCCTTCTTCGTTTTTGACCATGGAACGAGGGACATAAGTCGCCTCACGTGAAGGCGTTCGGAAAATTGGCTTTCAACGATTGGGATAAGGAAATCCCCAAACGGCGCAGTCGGAGAACCCATTCCAAGTCTGAATCGGCCGGAGATTGGGGACCGGGTCCGATGGACAAACTCGGTGAAAGTGGGCCACGCCCGGAGCAATCCGAGACGGAACCCTGAAGGTGGCAAGGACAATCTGCAACTTGGTGATGAGTTTGATGCTAAGTATTAGTCTGTAGTTTGAGCCCTAGCTGAACCGCACTTTCGGGTCCTCTTTGATCAAGATAGTCAAGACAACAACAAGGTCATCGGCACATCGCTAATCCGGACGAGTCTATGCCTAAAATACAATGAGAACATGCCCACCGGAAACAGATAACACGGTACTATACTGCAAATTAACAACGCTAGACCTTCTCCGGTTTCTCAGGATGGATTTTTTTCAAAGGATTATGCGAGTGCAAGCCACCTCGCATGCCAACTTTATGAGATATCCCAATGGCCCGGCCAGGAACTGTGAGTGATCGGCGCGTCAAACAAATTGCTAATCGCAACAACGCGACCATGGTAATCAACCCCAAGCCACCTCGCCCATCATTAACAACCCTAATACTGCAAGCCGTAACTCAACCCGACTAAACACCATACCCTTGGCCGCTTATACCTGCGAATGATCCGTTGGATTCTTGTCTCTCGCTTGGCGGACGGGGTTCACTAGCCACATCAGGAGCTTCACCTCTGAGGGACTATATCTTTGATCGCGATGCATCCACTTCGCATGCTACCGTGTTGTCTTCTCCTCCTTTCCGGAGTGGTAGCAGCTCAGGCACCGTCGATTGACAAACTTCCATCATGCCCTGTATGCCAAACTGTCTAAACTTGAGACTCCTTCCCCTATGACTAACGGGATACCCAACGGCAGCAATTATGCCTCGTTCAAGGCTTGAGCATCTCATCTTGTCTCACGGCAAACCACCCATGTCTATGTAATGACACGGAATACATGAGTTTCATGGATGCTTGCGTTACGATCAAGTGCTTGCCAGCTGATGCCTTAGGTAAGTACGAAAGACTTCATGTTCCATGCGGTGGTGCGAGCTACGAGTCAACCAGGTCTCATTAGCCACCCAGAACTATACTTGGACAGCATGTGGGCTTCCAGAAGTCAATGGTTGTGTTTCAATACAAGTCCCTACCTCAGCGGTCTTCTTCGTGCTGACTTCTCTGCCGATCTTTATGCGAGTGGCTGTCAAGGTTGCAGGTGTCTCTACGTGGGGACCTGATGATTGGATAATCCTGGCAACATATGTGAGTGTGAGCTTGATCGACTTATTTGGACCATATGGCTGACGGAACATAGACATTTCTCATAGCTTTCGTACCGATGAATGTGTACGGTAGATCGATCTGCACTTGCTTGATAGAATAGTCGTTCCGGATCGCGCGAGTGTTCTTGACGACTGATCCTCTATCCTAGAGGGCAGCAACGGCGCTGGTCAAAACATGTGGTCGTTGACTGCCGATCAAATCACCAACTACTTCAAAGTAAGTAGCTTCATAATTGTTTCTGGCATTCAATATAGTGCCTAAAGAGTCCATCTATAGGGATAGTACGTTATGCAAACTCTTTAACACTACACGACAACCCTACTAAAGGCATCCGTCCTCTTCCTCTATCAGCGAATATTCCCTTTTGAGCGGCTGAGCATCGCACTCTGGGCAACGCAAGCATTCAACTTGATCATTGGTGTGATATTCTTCTTCCTCGGCATCTTTCAATGTACCCCCGTTCACCTTGCTTGGACGATTCGGAGACAAGACTCTCAAAGCGAGGGGAAATGTATGAACATCGTCGACATCGGAATAGTTATGGTGCCATTCGAGTTGGACTAGATATTTGGACAAATCCAAAGCCTAAATCTAAAATGGGATAAAAAGTCTAGCCTGATGGTTACATCCAGCTTAGGTCTCTTGTAAGTCCTCTTCAAGGTCAACCCCGAACAGATATCAGGAACTGTCTAACGACTTGACTTTATGTCTTATCGCAGTCTTACAGCCGCCAGCTCATTTAGATTGAGACTCCTCACTGAAGACCATCAAGGAGCGTACAATTTTACAGGTAAGCCTCAAAGCCTCCATCAAGTTTGACGCCTGGCAGTTCGCTCTTACTCACACGGCCGGATTGCATCAGTAAACTCGCTACCAATCTCTACGTGGTCGATAATTGAGATAGGCGTGGGTGTTTTCACGGCCTGCGCGCCTGACATCCGACAGTTCTTCCGAGTCTTCATTTTTAGATGGCGTGATGAACAGGCCAGCTTGCACTCGGGGCCTATTCCCGGCAGGGCTTCTGCAGGCGCCGTCGAGGAGGTTAAAATTGGCAATCCTACAGATGCGTGTCAATGAGACCATTGCCACAATGATGTATAGATAGGTGGAAGAGCGACTGGATGGCTGAACACAACATTTTCACGCCTCATTGCTAATCCGGAATTCCACCAGACATATTGACTATGGGTTTCTTGTTTATTTCTCACAGGGGCTCATCCAACAGACACATCACCCATATGGGCAGGAAAACAGTACTTTCATTGTGCCCTTCTGAAGAATACGAAGACATCCGCGTTGCATCATGGTGTACGACTTATTACCTATTGAACTCACCATTTGCCGTCTTCTTGAAGCAATATGAAATCAGAAAGCAGTCTGATGCCAATGCCGCTGCTAACCGCATGACCTTCAAACGCCCAAGAAGTGGTGGAACCCGAGAATTCTGGGGAAAAGATTCTTGGAGGTCTAAGAGTGTGAGATCGAACCTAGACCGGTACCAACGACCGTACTGTAAGTAAGTTTGCACACCGGATATTTATGCCGTTTCCAATATTTTCACCATCGGCAATTGAGCCGCAAATGCATTGTATCAAAAGACTGAAGAATAAATCACATTCGGACCTGGGTTAGTACCGGCAACGAGGTACGGAAATCTCCGACTCGGCACGTTCACTGCGATGCCAAGACATGAGCGCCGCCAAGAGAATAAATAAATCAGAAAAAAGTGAAAAGTGAAAAAGGGCTGCGCTGCCCCTCCACAGAAACGCCAAGCCGCCAATCTGGCCGACTCGGCCGCGACGATTACTGCGTGCGTGCGTGCGCGCCCAGCATTGGTATTTCCATTTGTTCCATCGCCCTTTTTACATCCCCTTGCGTGGGACGAGCAGCCTTGGCCGAAGCACCGCCAACGCTCTGGGCAAGGCAAACGACGTAGCGCGGCGTAACCGGTACCATGCGAAGTCGAAGGGGGGGGGGGGGGTTGGCACCAGGAAAACACCAAGGCAGGCCGCCCGCGCCATTGATAAGATTGTCAAGAACTATACGTGACTGATTGTGGTTCGGTCAAGAAGAAGCCCAGCCGTGGCATCAACACCTAGTATACCTGATAGCAAAACACCAAGACTACACGGTACCACTCGAGAGTTCGAGACCGCTTTCACGCTTTCAAGGTTCGTCGGAGCTACTGAAGACCGTCGTACGGGCCCAGCCGCAGATCGCTCTCAGTATTGGACAATTGGTCGTTCTAGTCCTTGAACGACGTTGACGGTCGAGCAACCGACGAAGATCCCCCGGAGCATCACCTGGAGAAAATCTGAGTCACTATGTCTTACTCGTGGGGTATCGCAGACTATGGAAATGATCAGGTGAGCGCGCCCGCGGGCATGGCGGTGGAAGTTTATCGAGATGATCCTCAATCTCATACTACCTTCTGGGGGATTGGCTTCAAGCTCGTCATTTTCCTGGCGTGGCCAGCTTGCCGTGCCGTGCCAAGCGGTCAAGAAGATCAGCGCTGGCACGGGCAAAGGCGACATTGAAGTTTGAATGAGGCGAACTGGTCTGAGTGAGTGCATGAGTGAATGAAGACTCAGAGTGAGAGTGGGTTGACCTGAGTCGCGGTTTGCCGTGACGGCTTGGCATGCCAAGAAAGCCATACTTCATGTTTCCTTGGTGTCTGGGTCGTGCACAGTCACTGTTGGCTGGCGCGATAGATCATTGAGCCAACCTTTTCAGCAGCAATTCGGGGCAACTTTGCAAGGTTTGGGGAAAGGAAATGAGGGATTGCGTGGATGCCCAGTGTCAATGATCCTCCCCAAGCCCCCCCTGAATTGAACCCTGGAAATCTAGACGAGAGTTTCTGGGGAACCTTTGCTCTTTGCTTTTCGTTGATTTCATCTTTTTACTTTTCTCGACTTGGCAGCGACTTGGCAGCGACTTGGTATCGATAGATGGAAACTCAACTGCGTGATGGTTGCTTTTCGTCAACTTCTTTGCTATGGCATCTCATATCCTTCCCGCTATCTTGCCATTCCAGTAATGAAGATGAGAAGCGGGAAAGACACAGCGACGAGCCTTTCGGTCTCGGTCTCACTCTTGACAGCTCAGTCTCGAACGCCCGCGTCGTTGAGTGAACCGTTGCTGCAAACAGGCGAAAAAAGCAAATGTCTCGGTACTCGTACGCGCTGAGATGGAGCAAAGCTGCACGACGGTTGCAGGGCGCATTGTCTATCGATGACGGCCAACAGGATGGAAGGGAAAAGGCCCCCATAGGATAGACGGATGGATGTGTCCTTCCAAGAGCCCAGGACCGTTTGCGCCGCCAAAAGTGCCCGCCCAGAACTTTGATGATCCTTTCTGTACCACCAAACCCTTGCGATCCATGACTAAACGCCAATCTCCCACATCACGAAGTGACGAACGGTAATGTTTCTTGAGACATCTTCCCGTGCTGCCCAGGAGCTTGGTGGAGGACAGGAGACTTTTATGGCAATTGGCACGGCGGGATGGGAAATTGGACCGGTCACGGCGCTGCTGAGGTATGCCGAGTCGGACAGGCGCGCCAAAAGGCATGGCGAAATCTCACCACTCGACTGCCGCCTTATCACTGTACGACAAGTCAGACTATTGCATCCGAGACAAGAATTCCCAAGTCTCTTGGCAGCGAGAGCTCTCTCAGCCTGCAGTGCTCAGCAGCACTAAACTCGATAGGTTGGGGCGCCTGTGCTATGGTGCTAGGTACGGTGCTGCTGTGCTACCAAATTACGGAATACTGATAACCTCAACTACCAAGACACTACAAGACCTATAGCGCCGGCTCAACGAGCTGCCCAGGAGGCTAGGTGGCTAGGCCAGCGCGTGTCACTCCTTCACCGTTCCCTCTCGGCGCCTGCGGACCTGCGAGTCTTTGGGAGCCCTAGCTAGAGTCTGCCCTGTCAGTCTGAGAATTCTGTTTAGTGGGAGCGCGACAGGCCGCAGTCCTCTTGGCGGGTTTGGCTGTAACATCTCCCAAGAGCACAACCGCCCCCCCTTATCCCGACAATTATAACCGAACAAACAGCCTGTGGCAGGCTGACAGGCGCTGCTGCTTCATCCCAGGACCCAAGGTGCCCCCAAGACGCTCCAACATGTGGCTCGCCGCTCTGTTCTGCTGGCAATGTCTTGGCAAAGTTCCCCTTCGCTCTGTGTGCCAAGGGATGGAACTGGACGAAGTGAATCTCAAGCTGGGACACGCCCCTCCAAGGCCTCCCCCCCAAGCTCCAAGGAACAGTCGCCCAGGGGCCAAGACCGCCAAGACAACAGCATCGTGAAATGTGAATGGGTATTCTCCTCACCCCGACGAGCCTAGGCGGGCCAAGACGGCCTCTGTGGCCAATTCTGGAGTCAGTGAGCTGATAGCGCGACTTGGCGAGCAGCACATTTGAGACCTCTCCAGTCTCTCACAGAGTACAGAGTGCCAGACTGCCAAGACTCTCATGTGTGCTTGGGTGTGTGTATTTTTCGTACAGGAGTAAATTCTAATTCTCCTTGTTCCTCTCTGCTGCTGCCCAGGCCGAGTGCCCAGGCTTTTCGCCAGGCCACACAGCACCGTATTCTTTTCTGCTGGCCCCCAATTTCCCTCCTCCTTGAAGTCTTGACTCTCATTTTCGCGCCCTCTCGTTTTGAGTTTTTCTCGGTCTTTTCTTGGGAGAGGGTCAGGCGCAATTAGAGCATCTCGGCGGTCTCTGGGCTTTTTTCCTCTCATATCCTTCATTAACTCTTTCGCACACACCCACGCCCTTGGAAAGACTAAAAGGGTCGCTGAAGCCCGCCGTACATATTCCGGCGTGTGAGCTCTTTTCGGTATCCGGTTCTTCAGCCTTTTCGCCTTTCCTTCCGTGCCCACTCGGAGCCTTTTCCAGACGTCCACCCAGCCGCTCACTCACACACCACTCACTCACTCACTCGTGTCCCCATAAAAGTCCACTCATGCCTGCGCCAACAAGCTGTGGCATGTGGTGTTGATTCTGCGCTTAGAGGTCCACACATATTGAAGGAGATACCAAAAGACGACTTCTCAGCAACACCGAGGAGGGAACTAGAGACGGAGTAAAAGAAAGGGATTAGAGGAGAAGGGAAAAACCTACAGAGCCATCCATCCATACACCACCGAAACGCAGTTCGCCCGCCATGTCTCTCCAAAACGGCGCCTACACCCACCAAGGCTACTCAGCGCCGCCCTACAGCCAGGGATACAACCAACCGCCAGGAGGCCAAATGTACGGAAACGACGAGCAGGTCACCCAAGTATACTACTACAACAACGACGACGCCGCATCGATCTCGTCGCGGAGCATCTCGCAACATCAACAGCAGTACTGGTACGGCCAACAACCCGGCGGCGGCCGAAGTTGTCGATCCAGCGGCAGCGCCAAATCGCCCGAGAACGAGCGCTTCAACCGCAAGAGGAGGCGGTGCACGTACATGTACTACGTCCTTCGCCAGCTCGCCATCATTGTTCCCTTGGTCGTCATCTTTTTGAATATCAACATTTACTGCTCGCGGAGGGGCAAGTATCTGAATGATTCGACGAGTCCGGCGGATCCTATTTTCTACAGCTTGTGGTTGTCTGTACCGATTGTAAGTTCCTGTCCCTGGGCTTGTAGTGAAAAATCGACGCGTGAGATGTCGCGATATCTGAGACTCAGCTGACCATCTCGTAGTCATGTATTCTTCTCATTTGGTCACTCATCACCGTCATCTGGCGCAAGAGGGACGCCTACCGTGGCGGCATCCCGAAGCATTTTCATTTTGGCATGGAGTTGTGTTTCACGCTGGGCACCACCATTTGCTGGATTCTGCTCGTTATCCAGATCGAGTCGAAGAAGTCCAACGGGTACTACGCGTATCCGTACATTCAGTACGAGGCTGCTCTGGCGTTCCTGCTGGGACTCATCATGTAAGTCGAGCCACCTTTCTTTCATCCGACATCTTCACTCTCACTTTCACACTCACTCCCCATCTCACTCCAACCCTCATTCTCACCCTAGCCTCATCTCGTTTTCACTCTCACTCCATATCTTGCCCCACCATCATTTCACTCCCAGTCATACGGTTTATTGATGCTAACCTCTCAACCAGGATGTCCGAGTTTGGTCTGCTCGCGCGAGCCTGGTTCGAATTTACCAACGACAAGACACGATATGAAAGTGAGATGATGCAGGTGTAATGCATCAAAGCATCGTCCGGCGATTTGTTTTTTTTCTGCGCTTTTGAGCGTTCTTTATGGCGAGGCGTTAAGAGCACAGGGACTGGACTACTGGATTTGCATTTCTGGGACAAGGTAGAGAGGTACTGACATTTGGAGCCCATTGCATTTTTTGCTTGAGAAAAACCACATGAAGAGATACCCATCAGCATGAAACAAGATACCATTAATTAAGAATTCCACAACCACTGTGGCCACCGAATGCCCCGCTCTTACTATGTCCATTATGTGACTTCAGAAAAACAATTGATATTTCTACTGGCTATTTATCGTTCGCGACTGCTTCTGCCCCTCCTTGCGGCGAAAATACTCACCCATGAACGGAGACAAGAGCGCGATCGTCAGCAGCACGGCCCCCAACAACCCCGTGATCGCAACAACGGCCAGTGGGCCGAGCTGTCCCATCTTCTCCGGCGGCTGCAAGACGAACGGCCCGTCCGTAGCTGCTGCATTCCCGGCCGTGGTCGTCGGGGACGCGTAGGGATAGATGTTCCTCGACTCTGGCGCCGTGAACGCCCCGAGGCAGGAACTTTCATCGCAGGCCTCGCTGACAGGTTTCCCGTCTCCATAGTACGATGTTTCGTAATTGGCCAGTCTCTTGGTGGATGCCACGGACTCGCGTACTTCCACAGAGTATGTGATGCCGTAGGCGTAGATCGGAGATGGCGAGGTCTGGGCTGGGTCGGAGGCGAGGAAGCCGGCCGTCGTGGTCAAGATGCAGTTTGCTCCCGCTGTGCATGACCAAGGCAGTGTGCTAGTAGGTGCGTTTTGGGTTAAAAAAAAATCGTGGATTAATGCGTGCTTGAGTATCTCTATCCTTCGCAAAAGGGCGCGCTGCTCTTACCCTGGACAGCATATCACTTGGGAGTGGCTCTTCAACCACCACTCATATGTCAAGGTTGCCTGGCCTCCGTCGGTGATCGTCCGCTTCGATACAAAGGGGTCGGCTGTGTCCACGGCCGTACTGCAAGCCGGCGCGTAGCCAGAAGGGCACCCACCCCATGAAGTCGCGTAGAAACCGCAATAGTTGTTCCAGCTGATTGTTTCGCGGGGAATGAGGCATTCGCGGGCCGGAGTAGCTGACCAGGGCGGGGAGCGCGTGGGAGACGAGGTTATCGTCGAGGTGGCCATTGCGAGACTGTGATGCGTTTATAGGGGTCTCGAAACTGGTCATGGGCTGGCAATGATGTGGTCTACGGTGGGTTTGTGCAGCGGTCGAATGTGTCTTTGGGAGATGACGATTGAACTCTGCTCATCTTGATAGCGGGCTGTGAGGTTTGTATTTATGTGAAGCTCATGCTTTTTCAGCCGAGTCTCGATCAAGAAGGAGAGAGGTCCGGAGACCCGTCCCCTTTGAGGTCAAGTCTCTGCTGCAATCTTACGGCGCAGCAAGGGCTTGGCGTGCCCGGCTGTCTGGACCCTAGCCTTTGCTGCCATGTCTGCGAAGATGGAAGGCCTCACTTTGATTGATTGCGCATCTCACAAGACTGAGAAAGTGAAGTAGGAAGTAGGAAGTGGGAAGTGCATTTAGAGGTTGGGAATGCAAGGAGGGTGTGTTGGAAGTCTCTTGGTGTTTCGGTGTCTCGGTGAACGGGACCTACACCTTGGAAGGTGGAGAGAGCCTGACCGAATCTCGGTGAACGATATCCACTCTTCGTAGTGGGGCGATCATCGGAGAGACGTATCGGGGAAAGCCGCTGACCAAGAGGAAGTAGTGGGCCCCAATCAACAAGGCTGAGACTATCGATTGGCCAAAAGATTATCGCGGTGGATTCTAATTCGCTCATGGGACGTCTCAGGCGCGTCACAGTTGGCCTTAGGGCGGAAAATTAGCAGAGAAGGTGCTGAAGAGTGGGGCCCGGTCCCGCGATTCCCGACTTTCCCGACCCGGCCGAAGCGCCCCCCCCCAAGTCACCTTACGGTCCCGTCGCAGTCGAAATGGTCAATTGCAAGCGCACATATCCGTTGGGAAGAGGAGCACCGCCAACAAGGCTCAAGCAGACCACAGACACATAGGTCCAGCCCGATCTCGCTATTCCCCTTCTCCACAACAAGGGCCCAAAGTTCAACTTTCTTCCGTCCCGCATCAACTTCGGGGAGGGAACCACCTCAGACCAGGCGCAAACAGCAGAGAGGGCAAGGCAGAAAATTAGCCCATGGAACATCACCATGTCCTCCACGAGGGCCATCAAGAAGAGCGCCTTTTCGTGCGAACCATGTCGTCGTCGCAAGGTACGTTTAATTCCTTTTCCTTCTCTTTGTGTTTCTGTATTCTTCTTGCGCGCTCTTTTTGAGTCCTTTCTCTTATCCCCCACCTTGTCTGTCTCTCTTTCGGCACGCCGCACCACCACCACCCCTCCGCCGTGGTGCGCCTCATTTCCCGCATTCCGCGCCACAACCCATACCCCTGCCCACCACTCGGATCCGCGGAGGGTAGCGGAGGCTCAGGCAATGTTTGATGATCCTGCCTGAGGTAACCAAGGCTTGAGATACACGACATGGCCGGGGGGATCGACTCCCAAGAGGACGGGGTTGGGGGCGAATGGGTGTGGGACGGCGGCATCACGGCACGGAAGGGCGGGGGGAAGAGCGAATCCGGGCGACGGACATCATGCACAACTTCCGGCACGGCGGCGGCGCGAACGGATCGGAGCATGACGGCCTGAGTTGATGCTGATCCGGTGATTGACGGCAGGTAAAATGTGGCGGAGAGCAGCCGACGTGTAATCGGTGTGCTGCCCGCGCGGATGAGTGCGTCTATAAACTGTGAGTTTTCCCCTTTGCTAAGCCCCTGATCTCACCTGCAGCCTGGGATATCTCATATTCCCCCTACATCCCGGCGACTCTTGTGGAATATACTGACCATGTCGGATGAAAAAGTAACCCAACGTTATCATACACATCACGGCTGGAGCATCGCATAAAGGAACTAGAAGCACAGCTTGCCGCCGCGAGAGCTCACGCACCATCCGGAGCGGCAGCGGGAGCAGGACCCTCAGAACCCTCCCGGACATCATCGCCTAGCGTCGGGCCGTCAGCGGGCCAGTCGCCCATGACGGATCCTCACCACTTTGAGTCGCAGGATGAAGAGTCTGTGAGCGAGAGCTTCAAGGGCCTCAAGGTCGACGACAAGGGCGCCATCACGTATCATGGCTCCACGAGCTTCTTCCAGCTGCCGAGCGATAGGCCGTCTGGCTCGAGGGACCAGCAGTCGACATCTGACCAGGCCATGCAAAGGCGTGAGAGGCTTGTAGCCAACGCCTGGCAGCAGAGGGCGCTCGAGAACATGTCCGATATACCGGTACGCTCTTCCTCCCCCAACCTCTGGTCAACTACCCGCGGAAAAGTGGCGTGTGAGCTGATCTGATCCTTACCTAGGAACCGTTCCAATATCTGCTAAATGTTCACTGGTGCTGGATCCAACCTCTCTTCAACTTCATCTACAGACCTGCCTTTACTCGTGAGGACAACCCCTGACTCTTCTCCTGGCATTTCCAAACTGAACATCTCTACCAGGTGACATGCAGACATTAGGACCATACTACTCCCACACCCTCATGAACGCAGTTCTCTCCCACTCCATCCGCTGGGGCCGAAGCGACCCGGCCACAAAAGACAGGCTCGAGGAGTTCTACGACGGCGGCGCCCTCTTCGGCAAGCACGCGCGCAGCATGGTCTTCGAGGAGCTCAGCCAGGGCGTCTGCTCCATCCCCACCGTCCAGACACTCCTGCTCCTCAGCGCGCAGGAGTGCAGCGTGGGCAACAGCGCCCAGGCCTGGACGTACAGCGGCCTCGCGTTCCGCATCATCGACCACCTCGGCATCTGCGTCGACGGGCAGCGGTACCCCGGTTCCGTGCAGCTCGCGGACGAAGATGTCGAGATCCGCCACCGGTTGTTTTGGAGTTGCTATTTCTGGGACAAGATGATTAGTCTGTACCTCGGGCGCTCGCCTTCGTTGCAGCAGACGTCTGTGTCGCCGCCGCAGATTATGTGTATGTTTTTCTCTGTTGGTGCTTTCTGCAGAAGGGAGTATGCTGACTGGCGAGATGATAGTTGACGACTCGGCCGAGAACGAGTCGTGGACGCCCTTTGGCGTCGTACCGGAAGGCGGCTGGAAGTACCCCCCCGCGGCGGCGCACTCCACCTCGTGCTTCATGCAAATGTGCCGTCTCTCGATAACCTTTAACGAGATCCTCGTCCACATGTACGACCCCGTGCGGCCCAACAGCCAGGCCGAGATGCAGGACTGTCTCGCCAAGCAAGAAGTCGCCCTGCGTCAGTGGTGGGATGAGCTACCTCCACACCTAAAGATCGAACCCACGGCTCTCCCAGCCCTGGCGCCGCCGTCGCACATCATCACGTTGAAGTACGTCCCGTCGTCCCCCTTGGAAGCGAAAGATACTGACATTTGCACCCTCCCCTTAGCGTCCTCTACCGCACCTTCAAGATCCTCCTCTACCGTCCCATGCTGTCTCAGCGCGGAAGAGTAGGCGATAACCTGCAGCCGGTGCAGCGGTACCTCGGCGAGTGCGTGACTTCGGCGACGGGAATCATCGCCATCTTTGATCTCTTCTGCCGCTCCTTCGGCATCAGCCACTGCGTGCTCTCCCTTTCGTATAGCGTGTACATTGCCGCGTCCATCTTCCTGCTCCAGGTGCAGTCCAGCGTCGAGGACACACAAGCGCTGCGGAGACTGGAGTACTGCGTCCGTATCCTGGCGTCCGTGAAGCGCATCAACCCAGGTGAGTTAAGGCTTTGAAGCATTCCCTCACCCCCCTTCGACATGTTCCAGCCGAAGGGGAACAAGATTTAACTTTGAGCCCTAAACTCTGACTGACCGCACCCCGCTCCCTAGTCATCAGTAGCGCCCTCAACCTCATCACCCGCGAGCTCGTCGGCCTAGGCATCGACGTCGGCGCCCTCGGCCTCCCCAAGACGGCCGCAACGCCGCCCATGGCAACCTACGGCATCCCGCAACAGAGCCGCCACGGCGCCGGCGCCGAGAACAACATGCCCCCGACGTCCGTACCGCCCGGCCCGGAGGCCACCAGCTCCCCAGAGCAGATATACAACTTCCCTTTTGTCGACACCCTCGGCCCCGAGGCCTTTGCCATTGACCCGCAGGTCTTCCAGACCATGTCTTCTATAGAACCGTTGAGCGTCAGAGTCGGCGCGATAGATGAATAGCAACAAAAATAAAGCCAGCAGAAAGCCAGTCCATTTATGCATCAAGAATCACTTACCAGAATTAAAAGAAAAAAGAAAAGAACAAAACGAGAGATTTCCGCCATCCATGTTTTCGCGACGGCCTGGCCTTCTTTACAGGCGCTGCAGGTCGCTGGCTTTGCGGTCTGTCTGCGCCGACTTCATCAGACGCACCACTCGATCATAGACCGTGAACGTGATGCCGCTCGAAAGCTGTACATATCCACATTAGCCAGATTCACTCCCACCACCACTCCCAGCCATGGCATCAAACTTACAGTCAGCCGGACCAACCTAGGCGACGTACCCCTCCAAAACGCAAAAACCCCATCACTCCTCAGAATCCTCGCAGCGCAGTCTACCATACCAGTATACCGCACGTCAGCACTCTGCACGCTCTGCATCCTCGTCTTGATATTATCAAACGGCATCGACGCATACACCGTAAACACACCGCTCACACCGCCCAAGACGAGTGTACTCCCAACGCCGCCCTCAAGCTGAGGCCACCGCGCCGCGACGCGCTCCTGGAGCATAGCAAAGGTCGTGAAGCGGACTGCGCTGTTGGTGCCTTGTTTGCAGAGCACGGGCGTGAGGCCGCTCCATAGGCCTCGGATGCCTTCTTCGCAGAGCAGGACCCTGACGGCGCTGATGAGGCCGCGGTTTGGGAAGCGGTCTTTTGCGGACGAGGAAGAGGAAGAGGAGGGGGTGGCGGCGGCGTGGATCATTTTCGTCTTTATGGCTTCGCCTGGCGTCACGACGGCGATGGACTCTGCTACGCCGGCGCTGAGACCGCTTACGACGTTGACCCACGCGGCACGGGGCTTCCTACCCGGTCCTGATGCCTGGGATTCCGAGCCCGAGAGCGCGTCGAGCTTTGAGCGCGTCGTTTCGAAGGCGAGAAACCGGATGCCGGATTTGGCGG